AATATTTTTATAAGTTTTTAACAAAATTAATGACACACAATATAATAACAATACAATAGCATTGTTATATTCATAATCAAACAGTAATGCTAATATGGTCCTTTAATTATTAAAATTAAAAATCATTGATTTTATTTGTAAATGTAATTGTAATATAATATAAATAATTATAATAGATAATTTATTTATAATATAATATAATGTAAGTAAATTTTAATTTAATAGTTGCATTCAAGAAGCCTCTGGCAAATAAAATTTCAAATATAAATGAAATAAACGATATGATGCATGCCATACCAATTTATAATTCATTGTAACGTGAACGAAACTAGAAATGTAAACAAGGCGTGTCGTATAAAAAATAAACAAATTTGCGCACAACGTGCACAAAGCAGAAAAACGGCAAATAAATTTAGTGCACCGTGTATGGTGCGGATGAAACTTTGAAGAAACTTGGTGAGCATTATGCAAAATGCAGAGAATGTTCTGTTCTTATTTTACTTTTTAACGAAATAAAATTTACATATCACCTGATCGCCTGAGAAATAAAGACTTACCAACCTCTTCAGCTCCTCGGGATCACTATTGATAAGTTTCCTTTTAGCCATTACAATTTGGAAAAAAGAACCACAAGAGCTCTTTAAAAATTTATTTAAACTTTCCATATATATAAAATAGAATATGTTAAATGATATATAAAACGTATATATGATAATATATGATAAAACGTGACTCCATTAAAATTGAATACATATACATTATATCTTCATCTTAGAATAAACTAAATAAATATAATTATATAAAAACAAAAATAATAACTGGATCATATATAAATATGAACTGAATATAATTTTTTCGGCATGTCTAAACTGTTATTACCAAGGAGAGGCAGGGGGAGGTCTGCCAAGCACGACGGTCTCAGATCAGCCTGGCTGTACGTGCACCGGATAGAAAGGAATGGTTGACAGGAGCTTGCTACACTGTCGTAAAAACGCTAATAACACGATGGTAGTCCAAAAAAAGTATGCATATACCGGCTCGGACGTCGTCCGGTGAACAAGGTCCGCGCTGCAGCTTTGGGGACTAGAGGCTGCAGTGTAAAGTATGCTACTGAGTCCCAGAAAGATAGACTGAAGATGGGGTTGACAGTTGGAGTTTGGAATGTCAGGTCATTGTGGCAGACAGGGGCTTACGCGTTGATGAAGAAAGAACTTGAACGATTCAGATATGATGTGGTTGGTCTGTGCGAGGTCCGATGGACAGAAGGTGGAGAAATGGAAGGTGGGAAGATATTATGGTCTGGAACAGAGAGGGAGCACGTCTATGGAGTTGGAATGGTTATTGGCGAAAAAGCAAAAAAAGCACTGTTGGAGTACAATCCAGTGAATGAAAGAATGATGTATGCGAGGTTTAAAGGATACCCGAGAGACATTGATGTGGTAGTGGCCTATGCTCCAACAATGGATCACTCGGATGCAGAAATCGAGGCATTCTACGATCAACTGGAGCAAACAATGAATGTACTGCCAAACAAAAGAAAGATGTTAAGATAATCACCGGAGATTGGAACGCAAAGATCGGAAGAGACAATATTGGTTTTGAAGAAGTCATGGGAAAATACGGTGTAGGAAACAGAAATAATAGAGGAGAAAGACTGCTGGAATTTGCAAAGGACCAAAAAATGTATATAACAAATACAAAAACACAAAATACAAAAAAATGGACATGGGAATCACCAGAAGGAAAAACAACGAACATGATAGATTTGATTTTGATAGAACAGAAATGGATGAAATTTGTTACTCAGTGCCGTGCTTTTCCAAGTGCAGAGATTGGATCAGATCATCGTCTAGTGTTATGCAACGTCAAGATGAAAAAAACGAAGAGACTAAAGTCAGGCGAAAATATCAAAAGAGTGAAATATAGCACAGAAATGATAAAAGAGAAGTTGAAAGACATCAGAAATGTAATAGAAAACAAATTGGATACAAAAACAAAGTACGATATGAAAACAAGAGTCAGTAACTTGGAGAAAGTGCTTGAGACTGCAGCCGAAAAATGCGAAGTAAGGAAAAACATAATAAAACCCTGGATAAGTGATGAAACTTGGAAACTCGTAGAGGAAAGAAGACAGTTGAAAGCAACAAAAAGACAAAACAACGAAAATGAGATGAAATATAAACAACTGTGTTGCAAAATAAAGAAAAGTGCTAGAGCAGATAAAAGAAGATGGATAAACAATAGATGCGAAAGGGTAAAAGCACTAGTTGGACAAAACAAAAAACAAGAGAGGCGTATCAGCTAGTCAGACAGTTAAAAGGAAAACTGAAGAATACGTCAAGGATTATTAAAGACAAGGATGGAAATGTTCTAACTGAAGGCCAACAAATCAAAGATAGATAGTCGGAATATATCAAGGACCTGTTCACAGATAAAAACACGTATACAAAGGAGGTGTTACAGGCTTTAAAAGAAAGAAAAGTAGTCAATGAGGAAGAAACAGAAATAACATTGGAGGAAGTAATAAAAGCAATGAAGACAATGAGGAACAACAAGAGCACAGGGAGAGACGGAATTCCCATAGAGCTGATCAAAGCGGGAGGACCAATTGTATGTAATGAAATTCACAAAATCTGCCAAGAAATCTGGGACAGTGGAAAATGGCCAGAAGATTGGTGTAAATCAATCTTGATCATGTTGCCAAAAAAGGAGACCTGAAAGACTGCAACAACTACAGATCAATAGCACTGATCCCTCATATGTGCAAGATCATGCTGACGATCTTGAAAGAACGATTGGAGAAAGACATAGAGCAGCATTTAGGAGAGGAGCAGGCAGGTTTCAGAAAGGACAGAAGTACAGTCCAGCAAATCCTGATGTTGAGACTATTGTTGGAAGATGCAGGAAGCAGAGGTCAAACAACTTTTCATTGTTTTGTGGATTTTAAGAAGGCGTTTGATTCAGTCTGGCACGAAGGTTTGTGGGCAGCTTTGGAAAGTATGGGAGTGTCAACAAAAATGGTAAGGGTGTTGAAAGGGCTTTATGAGGAGTCAACAATGGCGGTAAAGGTAGGTACAGAGCTGGGAGACTGGATCAAAGCGAGCATAGGAAGTAGACAAGGAGATCCAATATCACTATTACCGTTCTTAGAACTGTTTGAAAGAGCCTTGGAAAAAATGGAGAATGCAGATATTGAGGGAATCGACATTGGAGGCAGAGTGATAAGGGACCTCAGGTTTGCAGATGATATAGATCTGCTAGCATCTAGTGCAGAAGGTCTACATAAACTGATCGAGTTGACGTACGATGGTGGAAGAAACCATGGACTACACATCAACAGCAGTAAGACAAAGATAATGATTTCGGAAGCAGGTGGAAACAATGATGAATTCCAGATAGGAGCAGAAAAGCTCGAACAAGTGGACCAATTTATATATCTGGGCAGCCTCATAACTGATGACAATAATTGTTCGAAAGAAATTGATAGAAGAATAGCAATCGCGAGAGGAATGTTTGCATTTTTGAAAGTAATATGGAAAAACGGTAATGTATCTACAAAAACAAAGGTAAAGATCGTAGAAGCGTGTGTGTTTTCTACATTGATGTATGCATGTGAGGCTTGTACGTTGAAGAAAAGAGACAAAGACAAACTGGAAGCATTCGAGATGCATTGTTATAGAAAGTTGCTGGGAATCAGTTGGAGACAAAAGATAAGAAACGATTCCATAAGAAAACAACTTGGAAGACAAAAAACTGTGTATGAAAGTGTCAAGGAAAAAAAGCTGGGTATCTTTGGGCACATCTGCAGAATGACAGACGACAGACTGATCAAAAAAGTACTGATGAGAAAGAGGAACTGGAAGAAAAAAGTTGGAAGACCTGTGAGGAAGTGGATGGATGATATCACGGAATGGACGGGGGTTGGAACATTGAGCTCAATGAAGATGGCGAGGGAAAGAAAAGGATTTTGGAGAGATAGAAGAATACCATCGGCCTCAACGGTCCCTTAAGGGATTACAGAGGATCATTGAATGAATGAATGAACGAATGTACGTGCACCAGGCCACAGAAGCACAAACAATAAAATAATATGCAAATCCATGGAATGAAAAAAAGTTAAATATTAACGGAATATAAAAATTTTTTAAATTTGAATTTTGACAAATTTTTGTTAGTAGATAAATACCGCCACTAACATCATCATAAGTTTTGGGTTCCATATATTAAGTTGATCTAATCTTTAATTTAATGTAATTTAAAATTTAATGATTTATTGTACGCACCTACATATTAAAGGTGAAAAGGCTTATTTACGGTGTCTTGGCCATTTACTCAAAATGTACATACTATAAAATACCTATGCGGCGAACCCGAGTGCCTGGCACAAACTTATATATTTTTTACTGAAAGCCGTTTCCCCTAATAACCAAATTCATTTAATTAGAAAGCTATATTTTTTCACGAACTTCCAGAAATTTTTATATTTATAACAATTAGCGCCTGTTGTTTAATTATTTCAATTAGTGAGTTAACCTATTTTATTTTGGAATCAACATTTTAAATTTACTGTATAAAAACAGTGCTGATCGGTTGTGGAATCATGTCAGTAGTCGTCGTCGTAACAACTCATTTTTCATACAACAAATGTTGATGTTACAGGCTGAACCGTAAGCAGATTCCGCAAGTCATGGCCGTTACAACGACAAATAAATACAATGTCAAAAGCATCTTTTTTTTATAGATTAGCAAAAAAGAACTAATTTTGGAAATATTTTATTTGTTCAAAATGTCGGTGCATACTGATTTAGTAGCAAAAACACAACTGGCATTAATATAGTTGGTGTGTCGAAAACAATCATACATAAACAATATATTTATTATTATATTACATCTATATTATCGGAAAACATTATTATTATTATTATTATTTATTATCACTGCCATGACCAAGATAACAGAAATTAAATTAAAATTATAAAAAAAACTAGCGGCAGCATCAGTCAATCAAGAAGTTGTAGAGAATAATCAACAAGGTCGGGATCATTGATATTTGAATCATGTAATGCTTCTTTTAATGATACAACTCTGATGATCTCAACTTGTTGACCACCAATTTTTATACTTTTCATCATTCTAACTTTTGTATTCAAGTCGTATGTCTCGTCCCCCAGCTGTACGAGTACTGTTGCCGATGATTCAGTGGTATTTTTGGTTGTTGCTTTTGTGTTATTTGCTGTTGGTGTAAGCTGAGACATGGTTGATATTAACGATGATGGTGATGTTGAATGCGACGCTGGCGAATGCGAGAACGGAGATAATATAGTCGACGGGGTTTGAATTGTTGGAGAGCAGGATTGGAGGACTGTAACTGAATGTGATGACGAGGTCAACATCACAACAGACGCTGGCGTTGATGTTGTTAATGTCGATAATGTAGACGTTGTTGTTGATGTTACGGGGCTATTTTTAAAAGTTGATGTTGAGTCTTCTTTTTCTGCAGAGTTTGTGGAATCATCAACACAATCATCTTTAGCATTATTAATGTCATTATTTAGATCACAAATTCGGTTCTCATTCTTAGTGCAATGGTCTAACATTGAAACCTCTGACATTTCAACATTCACATTTCTAATAACGTCACTCAGCAATCTTTCATCAACTGCAACATGTACAAGATCCAAATTTGTTTGACCATTTGAGCTAGTTGATTCAGATTTGACCGGAAATGCTAAATTGTTTGCCCCATCATCTTGTCCCTGCATAGTCTTAGCATAAAATTCATTTGGCTGTGTAATGATTGTTGCAGGATTCTCATTTTCATTGTAATAAATAGTTGCTGTAGAAGCTTGTGAAAAACCATCAGCATCAGTACAAATAATATTATGAATTTGAATAGGAATTTCTTCTGATAGTATATTATTTTCTTCATTTTTATGTATGCAAATTTGTTGTTGTTTATGTTGATTAAGTGGTTTTTTTAAAGAATATTTCAGTTTTGGAGTTTTAGATAACGTTGTTAGCAAAGGAGGCATTTTTACGTTGGAGAGAGGATTTAGATTTTCAAATAATTTTCCATCAATTTTTATAAAATTAGACCCACTGTCACCGTTTGTTTGATAGATAATATTGTCATCATATATTATATTACCATTATTATCATTGTTAATTTCATAGTGAACTGAAGGTAAAATGCTTTCAACGGCCTGAGAAATTATTTCGGCTTCATTGCCAGCACTGATGTGCAAACCTCCAGATATGGTTGTGTTCTCTTTCAAACGATGTGAGTGATGTTTTGATCTAGTACCAGCAGCTACAAAATGTCGAGAATGGTGGCTTTGTTGTTTGTGTGATGCATAATTGTAAGTGCTGTCAAAGTGATTATGGTGATGGTCGTTGGTATGAAAATCTTCATTATAATTGCTAATCATTTCAACTTCCGCTAGCGTCAAAGCATTAAGCCTTCTTAAAAGATATTTATCATCAACTGGTCTTGTTCTAGAGCATCCTTCCTCTTCCTCCTCCTCCTCGTCTGCCTCACTCTCATCTTCACTCATTGAATTGTCATTATCACACATACCATTATCAACGGTATCATAATTGGAGTGATAGACGTTGTTATCTTTCTTTCTTCTTTTTCTGTCGACTGGGTGGTTGTTCAGGGAGTAGCCATCGTCAGCATCTTCCTCTGCAGGGCCATCCTCGCACCCATCTTCAGTTTCATAATCATTATCATCCTCGTCATTGGCGTCACGTTTCAGAATTCTTTTCATCAGTTTTTCTGAAGCTCCTGCTGCTAATCGCTTGGTGCGCTGAGATTGCTTGGGGATGTTGCTGTAATTCACACTGTTATTCTCACCTACATTCATGCAAATAGTAATAAAAATGTCAATTTTTAATATAGGCCAATGTCAGAGGTGGGCAAACTTTTCCTTTTGAGGACCACATCGACAATTATACCATTTTGGGAGGAACAATAAATATTAGTATGCATTAATAAGGAATACACCCAAGTTTACTAATCAATATTATAAAAAGAATGTTTAAAAAAAACTAAATTTTTTCACATCAGTTTTGAAAAGAGTTACTTTAACAAATTTCTTAAAATAGTTTGTGGCTAATCTTAAACTCAATAAAATTATATCACTTATAATGCAAGTGTTTAACATTGACCTACTTTAGACTTATTTATACCCAAGCAAAAAATGTTTGTTCAGAAAAGTATACAGAATCAATAACTGAAAATTTTAACAACCAAGTTTCTTAAATGAGTTCAGACAAGGAAAAGGTAATAAAATGACAAAATTCTAGCTATCAGAAAAATGCTCAAAATTGTGATGTAAAAAAATGCCAAATATTTTTTTGTAAGTACAATTGAACTATATATAATGTTCGTAGGCCACAGGAAATAGACTGACTGGATGAAGTTTGCCAACCTCTGATATAGGCAAAACAAATATGCAGCAAATGAAGACGAGTCACAACGCAACCATGTATAAAACACACTTATGTTTATAGATATAAAGTGGCTCACTCACCTTCGCTGCATCTCTTCTCATTCACTTTTCCACGGTTGACAGATGGATGCCTAGATATGGGGTGCAGTTGAGATGTAACGTAACACTTAGCAACTGGTGGAGTAGTAGGGGTAGTTCGAACTGCAGTTGAAAGTTCTGACAATAGATGAAGACCATGGTCCTGAATAGCAGTGATATTCAACATGTTATGTTTAGTTCATTAGTGCTTTCCACTTTAACAGGGAGTCATAAGTCAGTCAAGGTATTTGGCCCGAGTCGGATTTTTAAGCAATTGAAAAAGTTTTTTTTAAACTCGTGTTTTTAGAAGATAGCGATAGGCAATCATCTTTAATACTGATTGATAAGAATAGATGCCAACAAACGCGTTGTACTACCATTTTAAAAGAAAATGATGGCTCTATAATTTAAATTTGAAAATTGTGTTTAAATTTTCAGTCAATTTCAAAATAATGTTGATATCATTATAATACACATATCTGGTTAAAGTTTAGCCTCATATAATACGCAGGTTGATGTTTAACCTTGTGCAAAGACAATTTTCTATATTTTAGCTGTATATGGAAATATTATTTTTAATAATCTCTACATTTAAAAACAAATAAGCAATGTCATGGAATGATTGTTTTGCTTCAATTTCATAAAATTGTAGCAGAAATTTGCATTCTTATTGTTTTGATTTTGATGTTTCATTGTTTAATTTATAACGCTTCAAAAATTGTATTCAACAGTTTCCAATTCTTCTAATTCCAACTAAAGTATCTGATGTTCATATATTTTTTTTTCAATTGTTTTAATCACGTCACATACAGCCCGGAATGAAAAAAATCATGAAGATATTATATTTAATTCAATAACTTTTACCAACACGACAGATGTGAAAATGTTTTCTTCTATTAATGCTGTTATGAAATCTGCCAGCTGTGTAAATTACATCATAGCTATTATGAACGCTATATTGAGTACTGCCACAAACAATAAACATGTACAAGTATGCAAAAAATTATAATATTAATTTTTATTATAATTTGATTGATTTGAAATGTCTTTGGAAGTATCTTTTATCAAGTAGTGGTATTTAAGTGAAATTTTAAAACAAAAGTTGAACAAGTTTTCAGGAAGCTGGAACTCCCAAAAAATTTGTTCAGTCAGAAATTTTTACCCAGAGTAGAAAAATTTTCAATCAAGGAGTCGGAGTCGAAAAAATTTTCATCCAATTTTGATACCTTGGATTTAGTAAAATGTTCCAGTAGTTCTAACAATAAAATAAACAAATTTTTAAAAAATAAGCTGCAAGTGAAACTTTTAAGTTATTAACTTTTAAGCTGTTTTGATAGCCGCAAATAACTTGAGCATTTCAAATGTGTTGCATTCACTGAAACTTTTGAAACAAAAGATAATTGATATGTGCGATGTATCTAACAAGAATGCAAAATAACATACATTAAAAACCACTATATAGTATATATCCAATTACCTCTTCTCTTCTATCTTGTCCCAAATTCAACTGCCTATTATCCTCAGTGATGTAAACACTACCTGATCTAGTTCCTATACAAGCTCCATTTTTGTATCCTGATCCAAATTTTGAAGGACTATTATCTGTAATTTCACCAAAATGATCATTGTAATTGCCGCATGAATCATCTAAGAGACCATTTGTACTCATAGAAAGAGAGTTGAGTTTTTCAGCAGAAATAGCTCGACTACTCAGTGGATAGAGACCACAGTTATGGAAATTTTGACGGACTTCATCAGAGAGAGCTGTATTTCTGTCAAAAACTCGCTTCAAAACCTGTTCAATCAAATTAATTCAATACACTAGATTGAAATTGAACACATTTATTAAAAATGACAGAAATCAATAAAAACACTTTTAAGACATGAATAATAGATGAAAATTCAATCAAGGAGTGGAGTAAGCATTGCATGCTCCAACAGAGAAGAGACTTAAGGTTTTGTTGCTGAGTGTTGCAGGAGCTGGGCTGATTTCTAATGTAACAAATTTTACATAATAGCAAAAAACCTTTTTCAAGAAAAAAGAAAACATGAGAAGTTTTTAAAATTAAACCATCCATGGAATATCTATCTATCTATCTATCTATCTATCTATCTATCTATCTATCTATCTATCTATCTATCTATCTATCTATCTATCTATCTATCTACATATATATACATATGTGGTTTATATATATGTATGTAGTGTATATATGTATATATATATATATATATATATATATATATATATATATATATATATATATATATATATATATAGTTTTTTAAAAATAGTTGTTCTTTATATGAGAAAAATTTCAAGTCGCATAACACAACAGAGGGGAAGGGATCAAGTCTTTTGTTACCGAAGTGTTACAGAAGGGGAAAGAAATTTGTTTTTTTTTATGTTACATTATATTTCAATGGCCCTGAATACTATAAAATGATCAATTCATTTTACATTAATAATTAAATTAACGTTATTTTAAAAAAATATTTGATACAAAAAATAAATGGCTAATTTGAAGAAAAAAATCTAGATGACATTGAATTCAATGTAGTAAAGCATTAATTACATTTCAATTTAACCTGAGCTATTTGCACTGCATTCAAGTTGCAACTAAGAGTACAATCATCTTGACCAACAACTTCATTAGCACCTGCTGCATGTTCTTTCACCCATTTACTTTGCTTGCGTGCTAGGTCATCGAGTTGGTTGATAAAAGACATGTTCAAAGGCTGTAATACACCGGTGAGGTTAGTCGGCATGCCAACCAGGTGAACATTGAAATGGGCTGACATTTCCACCAATCGGATGGAGATACTCCCTAATATATACATTGAAAAGGCAACTTAAGAATATAAAAAATAATCAATGAATAAAATAATTTGGGGGTTTTTATCAGACAACTTCGACAAACAGAACTGCTTACATGCTATTCTATATGTATAATTAAACTTTGGTGAAAACAAGGACTGCAGCATCTACACCACATATGTATGCATTGAGAAGCACCACATCTTACGTGCATGGCTTATGATAATGTTCGAGTTTACAGCAGAGACTAAACGAACAAGGCTATCATATAATAATTGAGCAATACATGACACTGAGCTAATAACTAGATGAAAAATTAGCAAATCCTAAAATCCATATAGCTAGACACTTTTAGTTATTTCAAAAACAATGTTATTGACTTCACCCACATGGCAAATGCTATCACTTTGTATAATAAGTTACTATTTTTGTTACAAAATGATTTCTATTGAATTCAAAGTAGTTGGTTTTAAACAAACCATAATATCAGAAGTGGCGGATCTAGGGCGGAGGGGCCAGCGTATCACCCGTTGTGAGCGTTTTTTATGTTAAAGGTTAGTAAAAGTACTCTTTTAACGGAAAAGATGGACAAATAGACTTAGAAAAAGATGGTAAGCAAAATTTAGACCACATTACCAGAAAAGTTGGTCCCCTTGGCAAACTTTAAAAAAATCCCCCGGTCGTAAAATATTTTTGAAAATTTTCCCACTCATTAAAGCTGTCTAGATCCGCCAATGGGAGTGGGCAAAATCTTCGAATATATAGCAAGCGAGCCTAAATAATTTTTCTAACGTTGCCCGAGAAAGGGAAGTCTCTCAAATATTTCAATATTCACCAGAGTGGGAGAAAAATTAACATTTGTGCCTTTTTTGGCTTTAAAACGTCACTTTTCAAAGCCTCGTGGGCCTTGGCGGGCCGTAGTTTGCCCATCTCTAAATTATATTCAATACCAACAATCATTGACTCACTTATTGGCTGGTTTAGAAACAACACCTGAGGTTTGTGCAAAGAAGTTGCCTTGAACTTTTCAACAAAGTAGTCTCGAAACCATGACAATAATTTATCTTTGGAAAGTACATCACTACTGTCCACAACAAAGTTAGCTCCAGGATATATCTGTTAGCAAAAATGAATTCCATCAGGGTTACTAATATACAGACAAAAATAATCATTAGCATACCATTAACATATTATGACAATCAGAACGAACAAACGACCTGTTGCATTTGATTTATAATAGATTTGCTGAAGGGACCAATAACATAAGGTTGCAAAATGGTTCCATCTGCCGATGCTGTGATTATTATCTTCACTTTTGGGATGGATTGCAGCTGTGCAATAGCCATGGTGAATATTCGTGAAGGTCGGTCGTCACCCCATACTTTACGGTAGGCCTATTTTTTTAATTAATTTCTACAAATCAGTAACCAAAAAGTATAATAAAAATATAGTAATAATACACTTTGCCAACATCAAAAGCAACGGCAGCCAACCAACTAATCAGCATCATCGGCACTGGCCAACCAGCAGTCATGCAATCAATGTTGATCAATTTCAATCATTCAACTCATCATTGCCCATTGACAACCTCAGCCAGGCGATGACTTACATTTAAAGATACTTCAAAGAAACGTTTAAGTAAAATTTTTAGCTTTGAAGAACTTGGTGGTACAATTCTATTTGATGCTCTCTTAATTTCCAGGCCTGAAAAATTTTTTTTATAAATAATTACCATTAAGCCAACTTACATCACCATCAATTATTTTGTCCTAATCATCATATTTAAACTAAAAAAACTAGAGTAATTTTTTCAGCGAGAATTCAAAAATTTTTATAACTTGATTTACACAGTAAATACAACAGGTAATAAAAAAACAAGCTAATGACATATAATATGCAAATTCATCTACCTGGGTGTCTCCTTAGAAAACCTGCCAACCAATTGTGTCCTGGAATGAAGTCTCTGTATGGTGAGTTGCATCTTTGGTTGAGACTCAAAAGTTCACTTGCTCGTTCTCTAATGTCAATGCACAACAAGTTGAAACCACACTCCTCCATTTGCTGATGTATGAATTAATTCATTCAAGAAAGTTTGATGTTACATGTATCAACTCAAGTATTAAAATTATGACAGCAAAGACGTAAACTCATGAAAATATTAAAACCATTAATTTTGATTTTTTAAATTTGAACTGAAGACTTTCGTTTTATGGTCGGACAGAACACCAGAAGAAAGAAATGATGACATGAAATTAAAAAGGATCAGCTATTATGTAAAACAATAAATTAAGATTTTTTAATATAGTAAACCAAATTAGTAAAATCATAAAATCAAAAGGTGACAAAAGCTACAACAGGACATAGAATATATAAAACATAGACATTATTGTTCTCAATGCAATGAATATGTTTCCTAAAACGAACAGATAGAAAGAACTCTAGTAAAAATCTATTTCTACAACAAATATTTGGTGTGAAATGCATTTGGGAAGAAACTGAAAAAAACAAGCAGGCATTGAACTAGATTCACTTTTCTAGTCATTTAGTTACCCGCCGTGATAACTTTTGAAGCTGCTGCAATTAAATTGAGAGTAAACAAATCTGATTTTATTTTTTTATCAATTTATAGACCTGGATCGGTTCCTCCTTCACCATCGTTCTTTTCAGAGCTAGCGAATGTTTTAGAAGTTTTATCTCTGTTAAGTGATAAAATCGTTGTTGCGGGAGATTTTAATGTTCATATGGAGAGAAAAGATGATCCAAACACAGTCTCACTGAATGAGGTTTTCGATTGTTTTCAGTTGGTTAACAGGATTAACGAACCAACGCATGAATTAGGTGGTGTTTTGGACTTGATCGTTACTTCTCGCTCTTTTCCTATCTTTAATAGTTTGATTTTTCCCAGTGGAGTGTTATCAGATCATGGATTAATCCAGGTTTGTTTGTCAATCAATCAAGTTATAGGTACGAGAAGTAAAAAAATGGTTCGATCCTGGCGACGCATAAATGAAGAAAATCTCGCATTGTTAATTTCGAAATCTCCGATTGGAGGGCCATGCCAAGATGATAATATAGAAACGCTGGTAGAGATTTTTGTGAATGAACTAAAGAGAATTGCGGACATAATAGCTCCAGAACACGTGGTTGAAAGTCGAGATGATTCGTTGACGCCGTGGTTTGATGGAGATTGTTCAAAGTCCAAGGCATACCGTAGAAAAATGGAAAGAAAGTACAGAAAGACTTTAAATCATCACGATAGGGATGTGTGGAAAAATGATCTGCGATCAAAAAATATTTTATTCGCCCAGAAAAAAAATTTGTTTTGGAAAAAAATCATTTTTGAAAATAACAAAAATCCTAAAAAAATTTGGACTGTGGTAAATAAATTGTTGTGCAAAGAAAAAACTTCAAATTCATCTACCAATTTTGAAGCGAACGATTTTGCTACATTCTTCTATGACAAAATTAAAAATGTACGAGAATCGATGGTGTATGATGAGAAGTTTAATCATTCATCTGGTGTCTGCTGCAGCAACTTGTTTTCAGTTTTTCCTGTTTATGACGAAAGCGAAATTGTTGAAGCAGTTTTGAACTCTCCATCTAAAACATGTTCACTGGATTGTGTTCCTTCACACTTTTTCAAAAAATATGTAGGATTGTTTTCAAAATATTTGACTGATCTTATAAACTTATGTTTACGTACTGGTGAGTTTCCGGCTATGTTAAAGCATGCTACAATTTCTCCTCTTTTGAAAAAGGAAAAATTAGACAATTCTGATCTTAATAATTATAGACCGGTTTCAAATCTGTCGTTCTTGTCAAAATTAATTGAAAGATTAGTTTCTAAGGAGCTTATGAAACACTTAGATAAAAACAATTTGTTACCGGTATATCAGTCAGGATATAGAAGACATCATTCTACCGAAACTGCTTTGTTGCATGTGTTATCTAAGTTGCATGAAAATATAAACAACAGTAAACCATCTCTTCTTGGATTCTTAGGTATGAGTTCGGCATTTGACTGTGTTGACCATTGCATTCTTCTGAAACGTCTTAATCATAGATTTGGAATAACTGGCTCTGTCGAACAATGGTTTCGGTCGTACTTAACAAACAGAACTCAACAGGTAATCTACAAGAATAAGACCTCTTCGGTTCAAACGATAAGATTTGGTGTTCCACAGGGCTCGGTTCTCGGACCGATCTTGTTTATTCTTTACACCTCTGAAATTATTGAGGCGATCGGATTACATGGTTTGGAGTGTCATGCATTTGCAGATGATATTCAGCTATTCGCCAGAATCCTATAGCAACTTTCATCTTGCAGTTGATCGTTTTGTTAAATGTTTGGTCGAGATCGAGAAATGGATGGCAAATAATCGTCTTAAGCTCAATCAAAGTAAGACGCAAATTCTTCTGGTTGGAACTTGGCAACAGCTGTCTAGAATTAAAATTAATTCAGTTATCATTGAGGGCTCAAATATAAACTTCATTCCCAAAGCTACAAACTTGGGTGTCATTTTTGATTCTAGACTGGCAATGACTGAACATATCAAGTTTTTATCTGGTACTGCAACCCTACAACTGCAAAAATTAAAAATAATCCGCAAAAGCTTAACCAAAGATGTTATTCAAAGTTTAGTGCATTCGTTTATTCATTCTAGACTGGATTACTGCAACAGCCTATTTTATGGTTTGCCTGAAAAATCGTTATCTGTGCTTCAGTCAATTCAGAATCGGGCAGCTAAGATTGTGGTTGGTGCGAAGAAGTTTGACCATGTCACCCCGATATTCAGAGAACTGCACTGGTTGGTCAAAAAAGAATTTTGTTCAAAATATTAACAATCATGTTCAAATGTATAAAGGGAATGGCGCCAGTTTATTTGAAAGAATGTTTTTTTTTAGACAGTGCTTTTGAGAAACATTTTGTTTGTAATTAGCGCTATACAAATTTTCGAATAATAATAATAATAGTCAAAAATTTGCTACAATGGGCTTTGAGGCTTAACAAAGCTGTGCAATTTTTTTTGTACGTCTAAATTTTTTTTAACAATTTCTTATTGTCACATTTCCGAAAAGGTTTAAAAAATTATACTCAAGAAAAATGAGATAAAAATATTTTCAAAATAAAGTTTCGGTTAATCAACAATTTTTATTTGCCTTATATTAGAAGGTTCCTGTACATTAAACTTGATTATTGAACTGAGAAATATTTCAATCTTTAGGCTAATCATAAATTTGACATTTAATATGTCATGCTAAATGTTTACAATGAAATTTTTCATTTAATAGAAACTGAAACAATCAATTTTAGTTTCAATTTTTTCCATGACTATTAAAATTTGTTTGACTGTTTACCTTGGTTGAGCAAAAAAGTTGAGCTGGAGACTCTTATCAATTATAGTTAAACCTCATTTAAATCAAGAGTTGAACTTCTACAAAATGAACTCCCTTCTACAAAAAATTCGCGCTCTACATGGCGCAATCTCAACAAGCTACTATTTTTTAACAAAAAGCATTCGCTTCTCAATTAGTCTAAAACAACATTATTTGTTAATTCTTTCAATGATTTTTTCATAAGTAAAATAAACAATATTCATAATAACATTGAACAAAAGCTCGTACATTCTGTCAACGTAAATCCAACCGCTATTGAAGATCATAGTCATCGATTCAGCTCATTTGAAGTTGTTACACCAGCGGAAATCAAAAACATCATCAAATCATCTTGCAATAAGACTTCTACACTGGATCCATTCCCTTCCAGGTTCTCATCCAATGTGTCGACATTATATCTATTGCTATCTCTTATCTCACGAATCTTTTCTTCAGTCAACAGTTTCCCGATAGTTTTAAAACAGCACAAGTCTTACCAATTTTGAAAAAACACAACCTTGATGACTCTGATCTCTCAAATTACCGACCTATATCAAACCTATACCCAAAATCATTGAACGCGCGGCCTTAACAAAAATTCAACCGCACATCACTTCACATCCTAATTATTCACCTTTACAATCAGCTTCACGGACCAATCATTCTACTGAAACGGCTTTACTTCATATCCTTGATAATGTATTTAATTTATGCAACAATAAAGAACCACAATTCTTGATGAAATGGACCTGGCAGCTGCCTTCGACATCATCAGTCATGATATATTACTTCGTCGCCTGGAAGTGGTATTTGGTGTCAAGGGTTCCGTCCTTTCCTGGCTATCTCCATACTTAACTGGTCGCAGTCAATTTGTTTAAATATCCACACATCTCCATCTCTTTCATGGTGTCCCACAGGGGTATGTACTTGGACAACTCTTATTTACAGCTTATATTTCACCTATCGGTAGGGCAGGATCATTGAAAATTATGGCATATGTTACCATGAATATGCAGACGACACTCAACTCTATATATCATCAAACATTAAAGATCTTCCTTCAAATATCAACATCCTTACTACATGCATCGCATCAATGGAAGAATGGTTTCTACATAACTATCTACACTAACAAAAGTTATGAGATTAATGCAGTATATACTGATTTTGAAAAGGTATTTGATAGAGTGTCACATAGTAAATTAATGGTTAAGTTAAATAAATGTGGGTTGAATGACAAATTGGTTGCTTGGGTTTATAATTATTTGAATGGAAGAACATTTCATGTGAGAGTGAATGATGGTATGTCAAAATATTGTGAGGTAAAGAGTGGAGTTTCACAGGGTAGTGTGCTTGGGCCAATTTTGTTTTTAATGTATGTTAATGATTTGATTTGTTTCAGGATATAAATTAGATTGCGATGTATATGTATGCAGATGATGCAAAGTTGTTTAAAATTATGAACTCAGATACTGATAGTGTGATATTGCAGAGGGTTTGAATGAATTGAATGAGTGGTGTGTGCAGAATGATGTGAAATTGAATAAAGAAAAATGTGTTGTGATGAAGTTTAATTGTTCTGTATCAGATAATAATTATGATTATAACATAAGCTCGCACCCATTACTTTTTGTTGATAAAATTAAAGACTTGGGTGTTATTTTTGATAACATCTTTGAAATTTATTGAGCATATACATTGCAATGTTAAGAAGGCATTTTCATTGTTGGGTTTAATAAACAGAAATTTTAAAGATATTGATAAAAATGTTTTTATGTTATTATATAAATCTTTAGTTAGATCTCAGCTGGAGTATGCAGCAAGTGTGTGGTCACCATGGACAATACGTGAAACAGAAGCGATCGAAAAGGTTCAGAAAAGGGTGACAAAGATGATCAAGGACTGTGAGGGAATGAAATATGAGAACCGATTAAAATTTTTACAACTGCCAACACTAAAATACATAGGAATAAGAGGTAATTTGATAACAATGTTTAGCATGTTGAATGAAAAGGACCAACGAAGCTTGCCATCGTCAATTACTTTTCTTTTATTTGACTTATTATTATTTATTTTATTCTAACATATTTTATTTTTCATGTTTTATCATTTCTCTTCCTCACTTTTTGCTCCTTTTCACGCTTGGAATTTGCTTTCGCCAAAGATTACACAGTCATTCAAGTCGTCATTAAAAACTTTTTATTTTGATAGAGCGTTTTTAAACGTCTGACAGAGAATTTTGTGACCAGCAAACATTCCATGAAGAATTGATGAGCAGTGTTTTTGTACTTCTTTAATTTCCTAATTTGTTTCTTGTTCTAGCATTCTAGTAATTTTTGCATATTCTACATCAATGGAATCATTGTTTGGAGTTAAGAATAATATGGCAATTTTTAAAGCGTCAGTTGCACTTTAGAGGCGCCTAGAGTCTGCATCTGCTAATGAATATGTTTTCTGTTTCTTCTTAAAAGCTGACAGTGATAAGCAACTTCCAAGCTCCACACACATGGAGCTGCATGACTGAAACTGAGACCCGCAAAATGTGACCTAGTTACTGAAAACAGGACACCGTCAGGCAATAAAAAGATTCATTGGACAAATACGAAAAACAAGCAACAATTTGGGCAGAAAAATGCCTATTGAGCTGGACAAAATACATTTAACAAAAATTTCGCTTTTTAAATTAGAATTTAGAGTAAAACCTTATTTTAAACTCTGAAAATCTTGCTTTGTAAGAAACGTATGAACACCAGTAGACTGGGGCAAGGAAAAGAATAAATTTCACTTTTAAAATTTGTCTTATTTATAATTATTGCATGGCTTACTGTTATTATTTTATTCTATGTATTATTTCTTTTTATTATAAAAATAAACAATTAAGAGACCGTATTTCACATATATATATAATATAGCATATAAACACCATTTAAGCAATACAGAATTTTTTCCTGAACAAATTCTATGTAACATTATTTCTACATAGCGAATTTATTTCCTATAACCATAAAATTTTTTGTACAGAGGCTTGACTGTAATTAACATATTACACAAAAGATTGTGACAATTTTAAAATAAACTCAATTCAAGTTGTAAAAATCTGTATTAAAAAAGAAGGCTATGGTCTAAACCAGCATCGGAGTCAAACCGAGTCAGAGGTTTTTGCAGAAATATAATATTTCAGAGACCAAAGTCAAATATTCATCACCCGACTCAGACTTTGAAAAGTGTTAAAAAATTGAAATTTTTAATTTGTTATTCCGAAAGCATTTTTAAGGTCATGATTTTTAGAAAAATAAAATGCATAGCGATATGCATTCATCTTTAATACTGAAAATAAATAGTAGCAATGTGAATAAAATCACTTAATTTTCTTTCAGTAAGTTTTGTACACAATTTTACAAACACAGAGAGAAATAATAAACAATCTAGTTAAATAAACACGAATTAGCAAAGAAACTTTTTGGCTAGTTCATGCTGCAAAAAAGAAGTTATTATACTGAAAAACTATCAAATATTTATTTATAAATACATTTTTTCCAACAGAGTAATATAAAATCTAAATAATTTGTTTAATTTTTAGACATACCAGGTGAATGTTTATCATAATGAAAATACTGATTAAACTAAAATCACTGAAAGACTTTAATGCTAACCTGAACAAATCTGACCAATTCTTCTTCTTCTTCAGGACTTAAAACGGTTTTGACACCAGGTTTGGTGCCATGTCTAACGCGTCCTCTAACTCTGTCTTTAAGTGTACTGTATGGGACATTAAATTTTTTGGCAGCCCCTCTGATTGTCATGTGCTTCTCATCTACACTCTTCATGGCTTCCTTCATGTCCTTGTCCCGCCACTGAAGTCTGAAAAAGTTGGATTGATTTTCAAAATCAAGTCATTACATTTTTTGAAGGATAAATCTTTATAAATAGTGCCACTGAAGTGTTGAAAAATTCCTAGAGCGGCAGTAAATGTTTTGTCTATGGTAAATTAATTAAATTTTTGGTGAGTGTATATATGGCTCACTTGTAATACTCAGAGCACATTATTATTATATTGAAGTACTGTTGATTGATTATGTTAGTATTATACAGGTATGTGAATCAATCTGCATGTTTAGTTTTTTTCATTGTAGAGTTGGCATAGGGAATAATCTTACTTACTTTAAGTTGTTTTTATATAAATAATATTATTGTTATCAAAAACAGGACGACCATCCCAAACATGACAGAGACCGTTCAAAGTTTTTAGTTCAAGACATCAACAAATCCAAACATATCAAAACATGCAAATATAAAAAAAATGACTGCTTGGACAACTGTGCTGAATGTGGTTTATCAGACTCACTAAAAGCTCTATATCATGATTGACCAGTATTGCCCCAAACTGAGTGGATGTGAATCGTGTGGTTACTGGAACCACCCAATTTGTGTAGCAAGCAATTCAAAAAAATTCGTTTGTAACAGACACGTGAAAAATGAAAATATGTAATGATAATAAATAAATTTTATTTTTTTATTGTTTTGCTATTTAGTAATAAAAATTTCAATCAATCAATTTTCGTTTTGCATCCGGAGACCCATATTCCCGAGGTAGTACGTTGTTTTCTTTGCCATCAACTTTTTGCGCCAAATTAGACGATCAGTTGTATCCATTTCATTTAAATTTAGAGCTTTCATGTCTTGCTTTATTGTTTGTGACCAGGACTTCTTTGGACAGCTTTTGGAACGTGTGCCAGGTACTGCAAGAGAAGTTATGGCACTGTTTCCACTTCGTTTGACATGACCAAGCCACCGCAGACGGTGTTGCAGGCATTCGTCCTTTATACCATCTAAACCAGCAGGACGCAGGATTTTGGTAGATTTGATGTGGTCCTTCAGACTAATTTCGTTGCAGCCATCGGAGCATTTTCATGTCGGTTCGTTGAAGTTGTTGTTCCAGTTTGGTTGTCATTGGCCATGTTTCTGCACCATATAACAACACCGGACGTATCACAGATTTCAATCAATCTTCGTTTTGCATCCAGAGACCCGGTTTCCCGAGGTAGGACATATCACAGATTTATAGTCTTGATCGTAGTGGTAGTGGGATGTCATGCTGCATCAATATAGAGCAGCAGTGCTCGAACTGCAGCTTCAGCTGTTCCAGTACAATCCAGAACATCCCCTAGATATTGAAACAATGTGACTTTCTCTATTTTAATGGCTTCAAAAACAGTGCTATTTCGAATTTGTTGTTGTGGATTGATGCAAGCAGGACAAACAAAATTGGACACTTTAGATAAAGTACCAATTATTTTTGAACAACATTTGTGACACCACTGGTTACACTGCTGACACTTGATTGAATTGTTACCTACACCAGCTTTACAAACTGAACAGGGCCATCGTCCAGTAGCTGTGGATTAGATGGGTTCACCCGTGTACATTGCTTTGGTTTTGCTGATGTTGACTTTGAATCCATGATCGGCGAGTCTGGTGTTCCAATGTCCAAACATCTGTGCTGCATTCTGCTCAGACCTGGCTGTTAAAACGATATCATCAGCATATATTAGATTCCAAATGTCACCAGTGCGTATCGGTTTTGTGATTTCTTCCATCAGTTATAAATAACAGTGGACTGAGAATCGAGCCTTGGTGAACTCCAACGCCGGTGTCAAATGCATCTGTGTTTCAAACCGTTGTGCTGATGAGAGTCTTAGTATTCGTATACATTTCCATCACAAGTCGAACAAGATATTCTGGAATGAGTTGTCGAAGTAGACTACACCTGATTGCTTCATGGGGAACTCAATCAAATGTTCAAACAGATTTGGTTATGTTGAATTAATTGTCTCGTTATGACTGAAAACATGGTGGAACAAATAGATTTTTCATGCAT